GAATGGGAGTAGACGAAACCCAGTCCTGCAGCAGCACTTTGCACTTTGAAGGTGCAAAACACATACCGAATGTGGCTACTGTACTTGCTAATCTATCAAGTACACTTTGCGCGTCCTCCATACATTCGAACAGACAGACGATATCATCGACGTACTCCAAGTAGCAGCTTTTTTCCAGCTGCCCATTCAATACCTACGTTTTGGAGTCCCCTTAGTGCGCTCTCCAATATTTCATCTACGACGAAATTGAACAGGAACGGCGAAAGAGAGCANTACTTGTTAATCTATCAAGTACACTTTGCGCGTCCTCCATACATTCGAACAGACAGACGATATCATCGGCGTAATCCAAATCGCACAGCTTTTTTCCAGGTGTTCATTCAATACCTAAGCTTTAGGTTCCCATTAGTGCGCTCTCCAGTATTTCGTCTACGATGAAATCGAATAGGAACGGCGAAAGAGTACATCCTTGACGGATGTCAGTAAGGAACAACTTGTTCCATCCATATTCCAGGTGATCCGTGAACCAAAGCATACGGACCATGGCGTCTAACTGTTATATAAATAGCAGAGTGAAACAGAGACGAGGTGTGGATTGATACAGACTTCGTAGACACTGCTTTTGCACTTTGTTCTTTCGCACCGTGGACCGGGCTGCACCTATGTCCGTTGGTTGAACTCGGCGAATTTCTTCCTTGTTGTCCGAGTGCAATGCTAGCAATGAATGACCCCAACAAAAAGGACATTCTTGCACCGTCCAAGTTGTAAAATCGTAACAGGTACATCATTCAGTTCGTAAATGTTTCTACTTGCAAACTCGAGTGAACAGAAAGCCACCAATCTCCCTCTCTCTCGTTAGGTTTCACCTGCAACCAACTAGTTGCACGTGATCAAAACGCATTCCGAACTTTCTCACATCCAATTAGCGCCATGTTTGGGTCTCATCAGCACAGTGCGAGAATCCATCGACCCAACTAAGGTATAAAACCCGGAACTTCACAGATAGAACGCCAGAATGCTACCCAGCCAACAGGCAGCTGATCAGATCGTTTCTCGTTTCATATATACACGATGTAGCACAATCCATCTATGCGAGCCTATTGCGAGTATCTCAGTACATGCCTCCAGAGTTATGACTCGGTTGGGAACAATCACAATCTGATTATTTGTTTTATGAGAGCAATGGAGGATTTGATTTGTATCATGTATATTCGAAGTGAGAAACGGTTTGATCAGCTACCTGGTGGTCCATTGGTGGGTAGCATGCATGCATTCTGACTGTGAGGTCCCGGGTTCGATTCCCAATTGGGTCGATAGAGTGGCACGGCACGAATGAGACCCAATTAGGTCGAAGCAGCTGTTTAGTGTTTCCCAGCTTTTTAGCTCACACATCATCATCATCATAAAATCTGTCAAAAAGTACATAATTTAAGCAACAGTATTCATCATAGATTGTTCCGCTACATTGGTACTATGATTTTCAATTCCTTAATTTCTCTCTATGTGCTTGAAATTTCAGCCCAATACAATCCTGAAATACAATATGTACTGCTAAGAGAAAGGAGACTGTTTGAGCAATCGGAAATCGTCGATACTGTTTGCACGCCACCAGTTGTACAAGCCAACAAGATCCACAATGACGGATCTACCCAATCCCGGTCAAATTTATGCCACCTCTTATCCGAACACCGGATCGGTGAATGTGCAACCGGTGGGAACCGGTACAGATTTGTCCCATATGGTTACACATCCGGCTCAACTCGGCCCCGTTCCCATGTATCGTACTGCCGTTCCTCAGGCTACTCTTGGACCGATTCCTGTTAGCATGTGTCAACCCGGACAGAGTGGACCGGGTATGCCAAATACAATGGTCACAATGGTACCTAACCCGGGAATTGTGAACACGGGGCAAATGCGATTTGCCGGACAAATGATTCCCCAGACTATTCAATCCACGAATCCAACTTCTCTAGGATTCAAGCGACTTCTTACCGAAATGAGTAAGTTCGTTCAAAGAATAGATAGCAATGAGTAAGAATACTTTTTTTCCCCTGGAAAACGTAGAGATTAAATGATACTTATACCTTGTGACGTGATACAGAACAGTCGAATGATTTGAGCTTATGAGGATTGAGTTAGTGACTGCATATCTAATCACCTTTTTAGACTAGAAACCAGTTTTCCTTCCCACCACCTAACCTTCTTTATTTATCTTTGGAATGATGAAGGAATTCCAGTAGGATATTTCGACATTACAATTAGCTACCCAGAAATAGAGCCCTCGAGTGGGTTGCTCAGCTACGCGGGACCAGGAAGATTTGTATTTGCTAGTGTGTTGGTCCCGATTTCTGACACAATAATGCCATGGATTCAGTCATGCAATCAATCTATGGGCTAATAAGCCTCGGCTTTTTTGGAGACTCTATCTTCACACTTTCGTGGTGACCTTCTCGGAACAACCATTTCCCATCGAAAAGTAGTAATAGTTCAATCGGACTTAAAGTACCCCCAAAAATATCAGTTTGGTATGGTGTTTAAAATGTGTTGCACGCTGTGTAACGTCTTCATCTTGGGCGTCAGTCGTATTGCATCCAAAGCCCACCAAATCTCCTTAGCTTTTGTCAGTAACCGATTTGCTACAAAAGTACCAACTTCCTAGCTACAAAAACATTGATTTTTGGAGGTTTTAATCACCCAATTGTTTGTTCTGCAATGGTTGCTTTGTTTGGGGTGAAATAATCATCTGTTATAGAATAGCCGAAAAAGAAATGGTGTCCTGCGTATTGCGTATTGCTAGCGAAGTGACAAATTCTATTTGATTGTTCACTCTCAGGCCACTAGAAAAACATGGGATCAAAGGGTAGCAGCAATAGAGATGATTCGTAAAATATGCTGGGGTGGGGCCCGGGATAGGTTACACACACAAGTAATCACTTGATGAAAGTGATTGCACAACGCAATCATCCAGTTATCTCTTTTATTTTCTGCATAACGGTTGATGACACCATATTGTTGGGCCATGGTAAGCTCAGTATTTGATTAATCCGATAGAATGGGTACCAGGACAAACAGAGTATCTGACGAGTCCCCAAACAGGACGAAACAGTTGTCCAGTGCTCTTTGTGTTGGTTATCACAAACATTTCCATCGCTTTTGAATGAATTACCTCGTGGGGAGTTTGCCACCTTCCCAGGGAGTGCAATCCACACCGAAGACCACCAAGAGGCGGTATCCACATTCGGATCTATCACGGTGAACGGTGCGAACAAAAGCAGATTATTCACAAATTCGGGTGACCAGGACCCGATGACATGACTTAATTGACCGTTGTCTAGAAAATTAAACGATGAATGAATGATCGAATTAGGTTATTTTTTTCTCAAACGATTACAACTCCGTACTCTGCTCCCTCCCCCCATTCCAGTTTCGTTTATGAATCAACACTTTGCTGCCCTGTGATCGTATGGTAATATAGAACTTTGAGAATGAATAATCTAGCGGAGAACTCTGCTCTCTAGTAATCTTTTCATTGAATAATTGTAATATTTCAACCGTTTCAATTCTGCCAAAATGGCTGATAGGTTAGCATACGGATTCCCGGGACAAAAAGGTTCGCTTCAGTGACAAACGTTAATTCGAATCCGATACAGTTACCAGAAAAGGATAATTTATTTTCGTTCAATGACAAACCGAGGACAACAGGTAACGATCAAACCACTGCAGGAAAAACCAGGTTGCACGATACATCTACCACAAAGTGAAGCTGAATCCCATTAAATTTAC